TGGCATTGTTAACCAATGTCATAAAACAACATGTGTACTACTGTTTCATGAGAAACTATTTGTTCTGTAAGCCTTCACCTGAAGTACAATAAAATATTAAAAAAAAAAAGAAAAAAAAATACCAGACACTTTTTAAATGTATCTTTCTGCACCCCTCTCCTACTTTTGTATAAATGAAATGTCAAGATCTAGCCAAGAAAACCAAGAAAAATAACCCCCTTGGTGAGTCTCTGTCATGCTATTTGAGTAAAAACATTACTACATCTAATAGTTCTGGTGAGCAGAAAGTAAATTGACTGTGGTTGTTAAGTTCTTGTCTATCAGATAGCTGAATGGCTGGGGTATTTTTTAAAGAAGAAGTATCATATGATGGTCTACAGTAAGTAAGTAAGCAGTTACAAGTTGAGTTTAGAGTTTAAAGAACTCAGAGAGGTGGGTTGATCATATATTCTTTAAGCCATGATCTACAGATATTTTCTTCCAGTTGAACGTTTCACTGGAACCAAAAGCATACAATTCAAGATTATACACTTTGATGAACACTTTGAACTGTTGGTATTTTCTGCTACATAGTGAGTGTTGATTAATTCACATGCTTTGAAAATCAGACCAGCAGATATTACTGGGTGTCCATCACCACATACTTTTAGCTTGACTACAAATGTTGGAAGGAGCCCTGGTGGCATATTGGTTAAGTGCTCAACTGCTAACCAAAAAGGTGGTGGTAGGAACCCACCTGTGGGAGAAAGACTTCTGTAAAGATTACAGCCAAAAAAATCTTATGGGGCGGTTCTACTCTGTCACATGGGGTCACTTGCTTTGAGTAGAAAATCCACTCTGCAGCACCTAACAACAACAGCATGAATGTTGGAAACAGAGGAACAGTTTTCATGAAAATAATATGTGCCTCTTTAGGTTGAATGCACTTTAAAGGGAAATCAATGAAAAATATTGCTTTGCCTTGGAGCCTGGGTTAGTGGCCACACTGTTCCTTAAGATTGTCATTGATTCCAACTCATGGCAACCCCATGTGTGTCAGAGTAGAACCGTGCTCTATACAGTATCTAACCTAAGCCTGTAAAAATCCTTTGCTGTTGACTTGATTCAGACTCATTCAATCCATGTATTACAGAGTAGAACTGCTCCACAGTGTTTTCTTGGCTGTAATGTTTACAGCAGCAGATCACCAGACCTTTCTTCCACTATACCATTGGGTAGGTTCAAACCACCACCTTTTAGGTTAGTAGTCCAGCATAAGCTGTTTGCGTCACCCAGGGACCCTGTACGTGGAAAAAGAGTTAATGTTTATTGAGTCCTTAAGAAACTTAAAATCTGGTTAAGGTAACTTAGGGTCATGTCAACTAAAGTAAGCTAAAGTAACACTAGGATCAGAAGTTGGAATTCATGTAAAAGATTCTACAAAGATCATTTAACTCTAAAATCTCCACTATATTTTAAATCTCCTTGGGCAGAAATAGGAAATCTCTAGTCCATCATATTCCAATTAATTTTCTGAACAACTGAAGATACCTATGTGCAACTGACGAAGTTGTCTGATGGGTACAAACATAAACGTTTGCATAGGGATTAGTTTTATTCTCAGTTTAAAATCGATAGTATAAAAATAAACAAAAACCCACTAAGACTATATTTATCTCATTTGTCCCTCTCATTATCAGGATTGGTAAAAACGGACTAATTTCATACGCATTCTAACAATAAACACAGAATTGCAGAAATGCCCGCAAAGACGGGCCCATGAAGCTCAACACATTTCTGTTAAGAACTTGTGATTTTTCTGCGCCACCTTGTGGCCATAACGCAACGATTACACGTTAAAGTTAAAAGGATTTTCGACGCGCAGGTCAAGCCTTCAGATACCCGCATTGCGGGAATCTGCCTCAGAAAATGGTGTCTTTCTTTGTAGTCCGTGATGAGAAACAGATTTGCCCTTTTCCCACTCCCTCCTTTATTTCTTCAATTCCTTAGCCTCGTGCCCGCCCACCTACTCTCCCCCTAGGGCCATTTCTCTCTCTGAGGTCCTTTTCCACCCCTACTATCTGTTAGGACCCCTTCCCAGCCTCTGCCCTCCCGGGGTCGTCCTCGCAGCCCTCCCTCGGGATCCCCCTTCCCAGTTCGCTCCTCCCGCAATCCCTGCAGCGAGGGCCCGCCCCCTTCCGCTGGCAGCCAACGGCAGCGCGTCCCCGCCCCTGCCCGCCCTGCCCCTGCCGACGCGTCAGGGAGCGCGAGGTGGGTTTGGTCCTTGTAGTGGGGTTCCGCGCCCTCGGTTTTTCCGCTGGGCCGCGGGAAGCGCACGCCCGCGGGCCCCTTGGCCCGGTCTCGGGGAACCATGGACTCGGTGGGGCTGAAGGTGAGCAGGCGGGCGGCCACCTGCGGCCTGGACGCAGTTTGCTTTGGGGGGTGGCGCTGTGGTGGGGGCGTGGAGACAATGGACTTTGCGAGGCCGTTATTTCTCTGATGTGACTTTGGTGCCCTGGCTCGCTAGGTGCCACCCCGCCTGGCGTGTGGGCCTGTAGCCCACGTTACCTTGTCTGCTCTCCGGGGGCCCTTCTGTGGATTTTTGAGGTCCGGGCAGCTCCCCCGGCGCGCTACTTTATAAACGCCGTTAGTGTGCTGGTTCTCCAGTTTGTTGTGTTTACTTTGACTTTTGTATCGAGTTTATAGGCAAACCTGATTAACACATGCCACTCACTTCACCTCGGGATGCGATTTTTAAGGACTTGCAGCAAACTAATGTCCTCTTCCCTTTCCATAGTAAAAGGAACGCGGAAAGCACATTTGAAAACAAAGACGTGAGGCTTGAAAAGGGAGGAGTCTTTATTTTAGTGTGATGGTCTTTATTCATTTATCACTGATACATCCGTTCAGCAAATTCTTAATTGAGGGTCCACTTAATAACTGAGAATATGGAAACAGAGACACGGGACTTGCAACTATAAGCGGTTTTTTTTTTTTTTAAGGATGATGGTCTTCTCGTTTGTTCACTAATTTCACCCATTCAGCAAATATTTACTGAGGACTCTGTCCACTAGAAGCTGGAGACCCAGTGATGAGCAGAACCTCACAGCTTCTGCCTTCACAGAGTTTATAGTCTAATGCCTGTGAAAAGCCTAAGTTAAATTATATTTGACAGTAATTTTAACGAGTTTGTCATTACAAAATGGATACTGAAAAGGCATTTTTTTTTTTTTTTTAAAGAAACCTGCAGTCTAGTAATGGGAGCTTCTTGTCCTTTTTTTTTAATCCCTTTTTTACTTTCCTGTTTTCTAGAATTGTTAAGAAAATGCGGACAAAGAGATGAGAAGTGGCCTGATTTAAGGAAACTTAAAAGAAAAATCACATGACCTTTAGATTATTTAAGATTTTTGATTAATAGCTGCTTCTAGAAGTGTATCAGACCACTAAAATCTTTTTTTTTAACTTTTAGTCCTTATTTCTTTTTAGACTTTGATTAATTATTATTGTCAAGAGAGATATTTCCATCATGTGCTAATTGTTGCCAGTGAAGGAATTAAGAGATATGGCAATGACCCAGTCTTCAGGTTTTATCATGCGTATGGTACCTTAATGGAAGGTATGTGCTAATTATTAACCATGGTCCAGAAATTTTAATTTCTGGCTTTGCGCTATGAACTCTTTTTCACATTATAATCTTTTTGATTTTCAGGTAAAATTCAAGAAGCTCTTCGAGAATTTGAGGCTATTAAAAATAAACAAGATGTATCACTTTGTTCTCTAATTGCACTGATATATGCCCATAAAATGAGTCCTAATCCAGGTATAGTATTTAAGTACAAGGCTTTGGACGTTTTCCCCTTCTCAGTTCATTTTGATTTTTTTTTTTAAATTATTACAGCATTCCTTCTTATGCGGTATTATGTGTTGTGTGTAGATACTATTTATTTCATATATATCTTGTCTTTCTAACAAGGTTCGGGAAGTTGGGAAGTTCATCAGACGCAAGGAATACATGTCTTTAAACTACTTTCATATTCCTTACATTCTGTGGCACAGGTTTTATTAGTACATAGGGATTATGAGTTAAACCTAAAGATGAATATATATTAGCAATTGTTATGCAAAAAAGGCCAGTCAATAAACAGATTTATACATAAATTACACTGTAGCAGTCAACTTTACCATTTATTTTGTGGAAACATTTCTATGTACAGTGTATCTCTTTTACTGTATTTTAAGCTTCTTGAAGATCTTTATATCCCCCATGTGAGCTAGCTCTTGGAAGATGTTCAGCAGATTTTTGTCCAGTAATTGAATGAGAAATATGACTAGGTTATGGAAGGAGTGTTATACATGAGCAAGCAATTAATTAAAGTTGCATGAACTGTCTTAGTTTATTGGCTGAGACAGAATATACAAACTATAGATAAAAGAAATAGAGTTAGATGCTCCCGTATATATCCACCTATAGCTAGTAAGATTATAAATATAGAACCTGTTTCAAATGACTAAGATTATAACCAAGTTGTTATAGAATAGTTTCTTAAAATTTTGAAACAATTCTTTTTCCTAAGCTGAGTATTGCATACCTCCTTCACCCCACATACATGTGCATAAATCGGTAAAAAATTATGTAAAACAATATGTTTAGCAAGTAAACAAATACAACAATTAGGTGCAGTGCCAGGTGTAGTTAAAAGATACAAAAGAATTATAGGAAGTGATCCATTACCTCAGGCTTATAATCTAGTTGAGCAGAATATGAAACCTAAAGTGAAACAAATGAATCCAAATTCACTGAAAATGATATGTACTGTTAATCCATAGGAGTAAGCTGGGAAGCCTTTGTGAAAAGTACGGACTTAATCTAATATTTGAAGGACAGGTGGGATTTGAATATGAAGAGTATTTGTTAGACCTGAGAAAATACCCTGGGTAGACACGTGGATGTGGTTCAGGATTAGGCTTTTGTAGATCTCCTTTTGCTGTGCTTTACGGAGTGTGTGTTTAGCTGGAGCAGATAATTTGTAGAGGAGAGGGGTAGTAAGTCTAGGAAAAGAAATTAGTACAAAATATTTTCTTCCTGGTATGAAGTGTTCATTTAATTATTAAGACTTACACATTGGTTCTGTTGAGTAATGTGATTTCCAGGACGCTAAAAAGATGGAGGCAGAAATATTGGCTAGAGACATCTGAGCACTGACTCTGCTTTCCACCGTAGATGATCCTGAATGGGCTTGAGCTCCAGGAGGTTCCCAGGCGTCGGTAAATATTGCTTAGTAAAGGCCTAGGTTGTAGCGTATGTTCTTCCTGAATGCTGATCTAAGTCCTGATCGTAAATGGACCATGAAGCAATAATAACTTAAACTAAGATCTGGCGAGAGTCAATTTTGTGTGGACAGTGTCACACAAAATTTGGGACTTGGAAGAAATCTGGACAGAAATGTACAACACCTGTTCCTGCCTTGATGCGTTCCTTTGTGTTTCTGTATCCTGGCTATTTAGTTAAAATTGGTCAGGTGTGAGTGCAGGCAGATGAGGAAGGAGAGGTGTCTTCCTATCAAGAAATCTATAGCCCTACAAAAAAGTATCTTGTTTCCTAAACTCCTGAAGTTGTATCTTGGCGATTCCACAATTAAATTTACACCATTAGAGGAGGAGCCATGTAACTTTCCTTGATAGCAATTTCCAGAAAAGTAGAGCCATTAGAATCACAGCCCAAAACTTTGGTATTTTGTCTTCCTTATTACATAGTTGATCCTGATTCTGATTAGATCTAGGATTTAGGTATGATGGACATTGGACATTGTTTCCTAATCATGTGCGTGTATGTATATATATATATATAAGACTTAATGGAAGTGATTAGTTATCTGAGAACTAGGCCATCTATTTAGGGGAGCAGTTGTGCCATCAGTATCGAACTATCTAAGTGAACAGTGATTACACTACCCTTTGACAGGTCATGAATGAAGCCTGGCATGTTTACACATTTTAGAATTGAATTTGGAAGTCATTTAATTTTAGTACTAGTCCTAGATATGCTCCTTGTAGCTGCATCATTTTAGAATCATTACAAAGTTTTCAAGTCTTATTATTAAAAGTCATTTGCTTATACGTAGCTGTTAGATTTTGAGAAAGGCATAAACTGTAGACGTCACTATGGTCATTAACCACATGTGGCTTTTGAACACTTGAAATGTGGCTAGTTTGATGAACTGAATTTTAAATTTTATCAATTCTAATTAATTTATACTTAAATTTAAAGTTGATGTTCAATTCAATTATATAAAAACTTTTATGTGTGTTTGGAACAGCCTGAGTATGTGAATCTGCTTTTTCAACTGTAAATTTTATGAAATCTGCAGTTCAAGTATTTACGATGAAAATTTAGCATGTGAATTGAGATGGGCTGTAAGTGTAAAATACAAACCAGATTTCAAAGACATAGTTAAGAAAAAAAAGCAAATTATTTTATTAATAATTTTTGTGTCAATGTATGTTGAAATGATATAATATTTTAGATATATTGGCCTAAATAAAATACTAAAATTAATTTCGCCTATTTCTTTTTACTTTTTTAACTATTAGAAAATTTTAAATTATGTAAATGGTAAGTATTTTATTTCTCTTAGTGCTGCTATAGAGAACTAAATCCTCTGCCCTGATATTCATCTGACCTATTATAAATGTAGTGACTATAGGGTCGCTGGGAGTCAGAATGTATTATAAACATTGGTCTAGAAGATTTAATTTTTATTGATGCCTTTTTCTCCACCCAGATAGAGAAGCTATTCTGGAATCAGATGCCAGAGTGAAGGAGCAACGGAAAGGAGCTGGACAGAAAGCTTTGTACCATGCAGGCTTATTTTTATGGCACATTGGTCGTCATGATAAAGCCAGAGAATATATTGACAGAATGATCAAAATGTCAAATGGTAGCAAAGAGGTAACTGGTTTTCTTAATTTGAAATAGTAACACTAAAGGAATCATATTATTTATATGTTCAGTAGTATCTGCTATTTCTTTGTTATTACACATTGTATTCTCACTTTATAAATAGCAGTTTTACTTTAGTTATTTCCTTGTATTTAAAATTGTAATCTCTAAGCTTGTTTATTAAAATCGACCAGTGGGTTTAGTTTTTCCTATTGGAAGATTGTTTATTTTTATGCTGTTTATTAACTCTTAAAAAGATTCCTCCCTCATTCTGTTCCTCCTTTCCTCTCTTTTTTTTCCTCCATTTCCCCTTATTAACCAGCTCTAGGTACAAGGAACCATTGTTTGTACTGTTAATAATACAAAGATAAGGAATATATAAACTCTACTTTCATGAATGGATAATCCAGTAGTGGCATAGAGTACATATCTAGCCAATATTGTAATGAAAAAATTACAAACGGCATGAGAGAAGTGTGATTAAAGTGCTTGAGAAAATAATAACTAACATTTATTGCTCTCTTACCTTGTGCTGTCTTAAGTACTTAAGGAGAGATCACATCTGTAAGTGTTAGGAAGATAAGGAAGAATTTCTTGAAGGAAGTAGCATTTGAGCTAAAACCTGAAGATGAATACAATTTCAATAGAAAGAGATTATGGAAAAGAGAAATAGATACTCCTAAGGTGGAAAGTAATAGATGGAAATGAGAAAAACAGACATGTTGGTTCTGAGGTAAGAACCTCAAATTTGAGTAGAACACGGGATATAGACGAAGAGAGTGGGAGAAAAGCTTGGAGAGATGGGTCGGGGCAAAATTGAAGGAACTTGACTGCTAAGTACAAATGTTTGTATCTAATTTGATAGTTATTAATGCTAATTTATTGGCTTAGTATCAGTTTTAGCGCTGATGGAATATGTGACATGCTTCTTAATTAATGTTGACCAAAGAAATCATCTTTAAAACTGAAAATTAATAATGTAGTATCTGAGACTTCAGGCTAGCAAGGGTTCAGAAGCTGTTTCACTGCATAGAATTTTGTTGTTCAAAATTTGAGTACTTTTTGTTACTAATTATAAAAGAAAGGCATTAGCTTTATCTCTTACATGAACATTTATTTTTTTCATTTAAAAAATGAAACTATCATAAATATTTATTTTTACAGGGACAGGTTTTGAGAGCATGGCTTGATATTACAAGAGGAAAAGAACCTTACACTAAAAAAGCACTAAGGTATTTTGAAGAGGGATTACAAGATGGAAATGATGTTTTTGCTCTTCTGGGTAAGGTAGGTTGGAGTTAGGGTAAAAAAATCATGTTTTGAAGTTTATTCATAATATATTTGAGACCCAGCAAAACTAAGTAGCTCAGAGAAGATAATTTTCATGTCACTGCTGTCAGCTCTCAACTGAAGAGGGAACTTGCATTTGTATAGGACAAGAGGTAATAAACAAGAGAAATTTTTTCCCTACCAAAATAGCTTCTTGTCTTAGTCATCCAGCACTGCCATGACAGAAATACCACAAGTGGATAGCTTTAACAAAGAGAAATTTATTCTCTCACAGTCTAGTAGGCTACAAGTCCAAATTCAGGACGTCAGCTCGAGGAACGCTTTTTCTGTCAGCTCTAGAGGAAGGTCTGTGTCATCAGTCTTCCCTCGGTCTGGGCACTTCTCTGCGCAGGAACCTCAGGTCCAAAGGATGTGCTGTGTTCCTGGCACTGCTTTCTTGGTGGTATGAGGTTCCCATGTGTCTCTGCTCGCTTCTCTCTTTTATATCTCGAAAGAGATTGGCTTAAGACGGTATCTAATCTTGTAGACCTCATCAGTATAACTGCTGCTAATACATCTCATTATATCATAGTGATAGAGTTTACAACACATAAGGAAATCACATCAGATTACAATAATGGTACACAATTATACAGTACTGGGAATCATGACCTAGCCAAGTTTACAGATATTTTTGGAGGATACAGTTCAATCCATGACACTTCTTAATCCTGGATCATTTTTATTTGTCTTTTTCTTTTGTTGGTTCATTCATTCTTTCCCCACAGACATTTATCGTGTGCCTTATATGCCTAGGCATCACTGTAGGCACTAGGGATACCCTGAACAAAAAAAAACCTCTTGCTTTTACAGAGCTGGTATTCTGGCGGTGGAGACAGATAATAAGTAAAATAAGTTAATTGTTCATTAGAAAGTGATAAGTACCATGGAAAAATGAAACGGAAAGGGGGAGGAGGAGTGCTGAGTGTCAACTTGCAATTTTTAATGAGGTGGTCAGAAGAAGTGACATTTGAGCAAAGACTTACAGGAGATCTAAGGACGTCTGAGAAAACCATTGCAGACAGAAGAAATAATAAGGATGAGCACTTTAAGGCATGTTCAGGGGACAGCAAGAAAGCCAAGATGCTAAAGTGGAATGAGTGAGTACAAGAGCAGAAGCAGAGGCTACAAGGAGAGAAGGCAGGTGTAGGGGCAGGTGGGTATGGGGAGGTAAGGAGAGGCTGGGCCGATTCTGTAAGGCCTTTGGCTTTGATTTTGAATGGGATAGGGGAGCCACTGAGAAGTTTGAGCAAAAAAATGACATGATCTGACTTATGTTGTGAGAGATGAGCAATTGACAGAGTCATTAGAAGTCATTGGTGGTTAGAAATATTTGGACTCTTTCTAGAGTCCTTATTGCTGCCTTTTGAATGCCTTAAATATATATATTTTTAATTTTGATTCACCAAGAGGAAATTAAATTTTTATGTTAAGAAAAACAATCTATTAGATATGCACTGATCTGGGAGGGTTAAAATGGAAACAGAGGAGAGCATTAGTATCTTGGCTGTTGTTAACGTCCCCATATCCTTCTTCTTGTCACCTTCTGTTGATAGTTTATTCATATTTTTGCTACCAGTATGATGGTTATTCAGGCTGATTGGGCTCAAGTTTTACCTAATGGCATTGCTATAGGAATTGGGCATTTGGCAAGTTTTGATTTAAGAAGTTTTTCTTGATCTTTTCTCCATCTCTCTATTGCTTAGAGAAAAGCTAGTTGATAATCATCTAGGGTAGGGCTATTTCAGGTGCTAATAGAAGCAGCTTAGGAGGGAATGACCTTTTTCCTCCAAGTATTGGTTTAAATTCTTTTTCTGATACAACCCATTCCAATTATGTGTTTATTCTGATTTACTTTTGAGTTAATTCAAGAAGAGGGCTGCATTAGTTTCAGTCTAGCCCAACAAATTTAGTTTAGTGTGATCTGATGCTGTGAATTCATATGGGAGATAACAGTCTTAGATGTGGACACAGTTCAGATCTTTGCAGCATGGCTTTCCAATTTTGCAGTACCAACTACTTAGGCACGTTCTAGGGGCAAATGCAGTTTTAAAAAATTGTCTACATTACTCTTTTCGATTGTTGCCAACTATTTAGAAACTTAAATAGTAATAATTTACTTTGACATACTCAGTGCCATCTTTGGATGATTCTCATACTTTCCTTTAATTCTATGGAAATATGATCTGAAATCAATTTTACGGGTATATTGCAATTTTACCATACATCTGTTGAGACTGGATGCTCATTTTTCACCAGAATATACCAGGACTGAATTTATTCCTAAGACAAATCCAGAAACAAATTTTCAAAAATCTAATATGTGGTAAATGTGCCTTATTATTTGTCTTTAAAGCACTAGTGATATTATTTATAGCTTTGTTTTTTCTTACTGTGAAAGTAATAAATGGACATTGTAAAACAAAAAATTTCAGAAAATACAGAAACATCTGAATGAGAAAATAAATATCACTGCCTAGAGATAACCAGATATAACATCTCTTTATGTCAGTAAATATAGAGCTACAAATTTACATAAATCACTTTTAATGGCTACCTACTATTAAATAGGTATGCTGTAGTTTAATCATTTTTGCTCATTTTGGGTTATTTTGTTTTCTATTATAAATGAACAATTCTGCCAGAAATATCATCTGTATGCTTCTTTGTGGTCTTGTCCAATTATTTCCTTAAGGTACATTTCTAGAAGTGAAATTGTTGAGGTAGAGAAGTTTGAACTTTATTTTGCATGTTCTTTAAAATCATCTCCTCTTTAAGCTGGATATAATTTAAAAATTTCTAAAAAGATAAAGAATCCTTTAGTTTCAGATGCTTCCTGCAATGTCCTAGAAATATTTTATCTTAAAAAGATAAGAGTAGAAAAAAATTTTGTTGTATGATGTTTCTAAAAATATTTTCTTACATTTTATCCTGGATTCATATTTCACAGTTATTTAGAAGTGGGTTTTTAAATGCAGTAGCTTATATAAAATACTTTTATAGTTCTGTAATGTTTTAAATTTTTGTTCCAGTAGAAACTTACTTTGTTTTTTCTTAATATAAAAGTGGTAACTGTTCCCGATAGAAAAGTTAAAAAACAAAAATACAGAGAGTATTAAACACCAGTCATTCTGCTTCCTGAGGGATAACTGTGGTGTAAGAACCTTGGTATATATGATCACAATTTTGACGTCACTTCTTTTTTTTCTCTCTATAGGCACAATGCCTTGAGATACGTCAAAATTATTCAGGTGCTTTGGAGACTATTAACCAGATAATTGTCAGCTTTCCAAGCTTCCTTCCTGCTTTTGTAAAGAAAATGAAATTACAGCTTGCCTTGCAGGATTGGGACCAGACAGTTGAGACAGCACAAAGGTTAAGTTTAAAAAATATGTAACATTAATATCTTTGGATCTACTTACAATTTCAAGAAGAAAGAACATCTATATGTATTTTTTTGTCATAGGATTTTTTAAATTTGATTTTTCAAAACGGTATAGAACTGAAGAATAACTCTCAACATTGCATTACTTTTAAGAAACAAATTTATTGATTTGCATAAATATCCGAATACCTAGCGTAAGGCTGAAACTGTTTTTAGGCAAAGAGACAAATATCCTTGCCTTTATGAAGCATATATTGAAGTGAGAGGAGCTGTACAATAAGCAACACAAATAGGCAAATTACGTAGCATGCTAGAAAATTATAAGTGCTGTGGAGCTAAAATAAAGCAGAGAGTGAAATCGGGAGTTCAGGGGTTCTATTTTATGGGGTGGTTAGGGAAGGCCACACTGAGAAGATGGCATTTGAGCAAAGATCTGAAGAAGGTAAGGAGTAAGCCATGCAGATGTCTGGGAGGAGACTTGGCAGAAAGAAGAAGAAGCAAGTATGAAGACCTCGAGGCAGGAGTATGCGCCATATCAAGGAATGGAAAGGAGTAAGAGAGGCATGAGTGGGCAGTGAGATCAGAGAGGATGGGTGGGAGGGAGAGAAGGTGCCAGGTAGTGAAGGGCCTTGTCGGCCATTGTAAGGATTTGGGTTTTTCTTCTGAAATGGGAGGTCATTGGAGGAATCTGAGCAGAGGAGTGGCAGGACTTAAACATTTTAAAAGAATGACTCTTGTGTTTAGAACAGGCTATGTGGAAGGGGACAATGGCAGAAGCAGGGAGACAGGTTTGCAAGCTGTGGCAGTAATCTAAACAAGAACTGTTAGTGGCAGGGATAGGATGGTTGTGAGGATTTGAGAAGTTGATATCTGGGTATGTTTTGATTAGGAGGATGAGAGAAGAGTTGGGGGCACTTCCAAGGTTTTTGGCCTGAACAACTAGAATACCAACAATTCTGCTCAAACAATAATAATCATGAACTGTTGTAAAGCACTCAGAACAGTGCCTGGCACATACCCATTCCTGTTGCCATCAAGTGGATTCCAACTCATAGTAACCTAGAGGGCAGAGGAGAACTGCCTCACAGGGTTTCCAAGGCTGTAAATCTTTATGGAAACAGACCACCTCACCTTTCTACTGTGGAGCTGCTGGTGGGTTGAAGCCCCCGACCTTTCGGTTAGCAGCTGAGCGCTTAAGTGCTGGGCCACCAGGGATCTCCCTGGCACGTAGGAAGTGCTGTTCATCCTGATGACAGTCCTAAGAGGAGGTATCATTAGTATCTCCATTTTACGGATGAATAGACTAAGGCACAGAGATATTAGGAAGTTTATCCAAAAGTCACACAGCTAGTTTATGGTGGAGTCAGGATTCAAATCCAAAGCACTCTGGCCCCAAATGTGTGCTCTTAAACATTGTACTGTTCTAAAAGGATAGGGTTGCCTTTAACCGAATGGGGAGACTGGAAAGGGAAAGTTTTGGAGAGCAGGTCAGGAATTTAGTTTGGATGTATGAAGTTTGAGATACCTATTAGAAATCAAAGTAGAGATGGATTTACGAGTAGGTGGTTGGATGTCCGAATCTGGAGTTCTGGAAAGGGGTCTGGGCTGGGGATAAATGTTTGGGAGTTGCTGGCACATAGATACCATATAAAGCCATGAGACTAAGAATAAATCTGTTAAGAGTCACACATTGATATTTTCTGACTAATAAATAAATTCAAGTCACTTTAATAACAGAAATTATAGAAAAAGTGGATTTCACAGGCGATAACAATAAGCTTTTTTTAAAAACAGATGTCTCAATAGAACTTATGCAAAAATAGGCAGGGTCTTTTCAAGATAGACAGATTAAGCATAAATTACATAGAAAGCCAGCTTCACTTTATAAGTGGTGGTGTGCTCTTTGTCAAGAGGCTCGTAATGCCTGCTTTTCTTTTTTTGTGTGTAATATGAGCAGCTATTCATGTTCAGTTCCTAGATTCTTGGTTAATGAGGGGTTACAATGTGGTTATATTTGAATTGTGTCATTCTTGAATTCATTTCTTAGCTGGAATACTTCTATAGAGAAAACTTCTCATCTACTGCTTGATTACCTGATGGTGCAATTCATATAAGAAAAGCAGGATGAAGTCTTTTTATTTTCCATGTTTAAAAAAAAATTCCTAGCATCCTTCTATGGTGACTGATTACTGGTTTGATTTGTTTGTTTACATGACGTAGATTTAAACTTTAGTGTTTCAAGTCATTTCAGTTATTAAAATTGCTCAAATTGTCTCATCTCTGGCCATTAGGATCCTCTTCAAGTTAGTGCTAAGTCCTTTTGACATGATCCCTGTAGTTTTTGATAGTTTCCTTGCTGTTTGGTATGACAAAAATAACAGACTCATTTTGTGTATTTACTGCTGTTTGTTCATGGCAGTCCCGTCCCTTTTGGTACGATATGACATTTGAATGTCACAATTTGGACACTAGTAACTTTTTGATGTTTATATCTTTCCAGATATATTTCTTGGCACTATGTGTGTGTGGTGTATGTTAATGTAACATATAAATAATACATACAGATTTTGGGGGGATTTTTTAAAATAAAAAATGGACTCATATTGTATAGTTAAACTTGTTTTACTTTTAACTTACTAAATTTCATGAATATCCTTGTGTATCCATTCACACAAGTATACCTAATTTTTTAACACCTAAATAGCACTCTGTAAAATGAACAAATAAATACTTTATTTTTTCCCTGTTGGTGGGCATTTTGGTTGTCCCAGTTTTTCACTGTTGTATATAATGCAGTGAATTCACATGCACACACAAACACACTTCTGTAGGATGGTTTTCCAAACTGGGATTGTTGAATCGAAGTGTATTAGGGTAGACTGGGCATCTGTAAAAATTAGATGTAAGTGTATAATGGTTCAACACAATAAAACTTTTTTCCCATGTAACAGTTTTGTGTGATTATGTGGTTTTCCCCTTTTAATCTATTTTAATGTTGTGAATTGCATTAATAGTTTTTTTTTTTTAATGTTCAACCTATCCTTGCATTGCTGGAATTCCTGTAATAAATCTGCCTTGTCAAGGTGAATTATTGTTTTAATACACTGTTGTGAATGGTTAGCTAATATTTTATTTAGGATTGCCGTAGGATTTAGTGAGATTGTTGGTGTAATCTATTTATATCCTTTTAGCATATTAAAAATTAAAATAGAGACTTTTTTAGTGTAAATAGTGAAGTTGATAATTTTCATAAAGCAGGTGTCATTTAAAATCCTTTGGACAATGGAGTTATAGTCAGAACAACAAATCAACTTTCCAAGCCCTCAAATTTTACCCTTTTGTTATCAAATTTTTATTTTATTTTTTAAAAATTTCTTTGATGGCATGTGTTTTCAGTACTGGAATGCATGCTTACTAATTGAATGTGTTTAAATTTTTGTTGGTAACGTGGATTTTGAGAAGTATGATCTGGTACTGTAAGCCACGAATAAGGTGAGTGGCACTCTGGCACCACTGATCTGTTGTATGACAATATACCAATAAGAACTAAATAGAGAATTTATTGTGGACACCTTTCCATTAGGTTACATGGGGAACCTCTGGTTTTCCAAATATGACACAGAAAAACCAAAACAAACCCATCAGGACTCCCTAACTATCACACGGGAAAGCCGTAATTATGCTTGCAGGCCTTGTCCTACAAAAATGAAGGAAGAAAAGGCAAAAGTTTATAAAAGTTTACAAAACTTAACATATCCAGGTATCATCACTAAGTGGAATGCTCAACCTGTGTAACAATGAGGCTTCATCTCCAGTCTGCTTAGCTTCACGCATTTCAAAAGGGATCCACTTTGATGCTAAGTGCATTAGAATCGGAATAACGTACTACCTATGAGGTCCAGAGGCATACAAAGTGGCTGGCATACCGTTAAACCAATAGAAACTAAAGAAAGAAGATAGATTTACTTCTGCACTAACTGTAATATTTTCCTACAGGTTAATTCTACAAGATAATAAAAATGTGGAAGCATTGAGAATGCTGGCTCTTTACTATTTGTGTAGGGAGGGGGATATAGAGAAGGTAAGTTGTGTTGTACTCTTTAAGTTCCCTTATTAAAAGC